CTCCTAAATGTTTTAAACTACATGTATGCTGATGGAGCCGTAAAAACACGCGCATTTAAATATATTTATATTTGAACACTCGAGTGGTCGTTGTGGTGCCGGCTTGTAACGAACAACATGACAACGGAGCACGAGCACTTTGTCCTGTTCTTGCTGCCTACAGGCACATTTGTTAGGTGTGAAACCGTAAGAATTGCGTTTGTTTGTCCATTAGGGTGGCATTTATCCATTAGAATAGCATTTGTCCGCTCTTGGGGTGAGCCAACGTTTGTTCCAACCCTCGATTAGTTTGTGGTTCATATGGCAGGCGCTCTTGTGTGGTTTGCTGTTATAAAAAAATCTGTCTCCCTTGTCTCTTTTCCTTTTATTTGTTTGTTACTCTCTAGTAACAATTCTTATCTGCGGCACTTGTATAACCTATTTGTCTTGCAAAGGCCGTAAAAAGATGACTAAATATAACCTTTTTTCCCCGATGTCTTTATTTGTCAGTCACAGCTCTGTCTTTCCTCTCAAATATATATCGTCCTGATCTCTCCTTTTTTTCTTCGTATGCTACTTTCTTGTAACACCTCTGATCTTCAGCGCTTATGCGACCCATTTGCGTTGCGAATGCCGTAAGACTCTTAATAAAAACCAAACTAAAAACGCCCAAGTTTGTTACGTCGCACGGATGCACGCCTTTGGTCCTCGTTCGTTAGCCCCGGTTATCTCCCTTTGGTTTCCACTGGTAAAAAGGACTCGTGTCATAATGAATCGGGGTGCTCTGGTTGTTTTGGTGTTTTCGCCCGTCTGTTTCGCCCTGGTGCCAAACCGTGCGCGTGCTGTATGTTCCTACAAGCTGTTTGGGCTCCACAGTTCTCGTCGAGCTAATAGCACTGAGTGTGGGGAACAGCACGGGCCCCATCAGTGTCCGCTTGAATGGACTTTTGTAAGAGGGATGGGGGGCAGAGAGACAGATAGACAGATAAACAGAGGGAGAGGGAGATAGAGAGAGGGGGCAGGGAGAGAGACAGACAAACAGTGAGAGGGAGGGAGAGAGAGCGAGACAGACAGACAAACAGTGAGAGGGAGGGAGAGAGAGCGAGACAGACAGACAAACAGAGAGAGGAAAGGAGGGGGGACAGACTGACGAACAAGGAAAGAGACAAACCGAGAGAGAGAGAGAGAGAGAGAGAGAGAGAGAGAGAGAGAGAGCAAGAGCAATCAATACTAACCCCGTTTGTCCGGCTCAGTGGGGAACAGCCTAGCCCTGGACGGTTGTGGAATGAACGGTACAGGGAGACGTTGATTGTGGAAGGAG